TAGCGTGGATTGTAGCTTTATTTGTCCCACCATCTCAGGTAGGGATATTATCAAGACCAAATATGATGTTTTCAACAATGACATTTGACATTATCCTATCATTTTCTAGTTTAATCCCCTCAGTTACTTAAAGAATAGTCTTATCTATGTAATCACATTGTTTAGCTAATGTTAGCTAGAAAAGCAATCTTAAGAGTTTACCAGAGAAATAAATGAGTGTATGCATTATCAAACTTCTCCCTTTAGTCAAAGATCCACTATAAGTCAGCAAATTGCATGGCATATTGCATAGAGAGGATGTACCTGAAAGTCTGTCCTTCCACATCCACGTATCAAAAGGGCATCACCAGTAAAGGCCATCCTTGGTTGAGGTTGATTGGGTCCATCTCCCGTGACATAGGTAACACATCCAAGTGTATGACCAGGAGTTGCACGAACCTGCAATGGAAGCACTATTACATTAGAAAACGGCTCAAAGATCATGCACTACAGCCTAGTTTAGTTGATTTTTCAGGCTCATTCATCTAATACAATTCTATTTGGTTCAATATGACTGGCATGGAAACGGGGAAAAAACAATGTTGTAAGTGTCAAGAGAGGTAGAAAATGACAGTTATAGAATGGTTCTAAGCCGAGGTAAACTAGAAAAAACTGCAGTTCAGAGAAAGTTTTGAGGAAATGTATTAATCATTTAATTGTGTTATTGAAGTCTTTATTGAGATGACATGTCACTAAGCCATACATTTCAGTGACTGAAGACCAAACAGGATTCAACTAATAAGATCATAAATATTTCTCTCAAAGAAATTTGTACGACGAGTTGAAAATTGAAATTGGGCATCTTAATTATTTCAAAGATGAAACTAAATGAAAGTTAAACAAATTAAATTTGCCATAATGCTCAAATACCATGTTACCCTAATGATGTTAAACATAGATCTTCTTGTCACAGAACCAAGAATTTAAAGAACTAATGCTTATCAAGAAAACTGACTAACCCAATTAAGGGCCTGCCAAGTAATTACAAGAAAAAAAAAATCAAGCTCATTCTATTTCTAATTGTGATAACAACTAGGCCATGCCCAAAATAACGAAGAGCATTCAAACAACCTCATCTTATCTCAAAACAAAATCACATGTTCTCCATGATTATTGATGAATAGACCACAATAAGCAAAGGTAAAATGACCCTGAATTTGCAAGTTGTTTAAGAACCGTTAGGCACAGCCCCATAAATGTTTTGTAGTACATACAAATGTTCAGACATTTAGAACATGGTTATTTTCCTAACGCTGAACTAACTTTTCCTTGCAAAGGAAATACTATAGAACCGTAATCATTGACATAATTTTCAAGAACCGTTAGGCACAACCCCATAAATGTTTTTTGTAGTACATATAAATGTTCAGACATTTGGAACATGGTTCAAACATATAGAACAAGGTGATATTCCTAACGTTGAACTAACTTTTCCTTGCAAAGGAAATACTATAGAGCCTCGACATAATTTTCTACCACTAAAGCTATATGGAAAAATCTAAAGTTAAAAAACTTCAGATGTCTATACCTCCAGAAAAATATCACCAAAGTAGATCTTATCACCAGGTTCAACAAAAATATCAGCTTTTGCATTGCTTGCTTTTGATATGATTGATTTCACACCAGGGAACTTTGTCTGAGAGATTGAAAATTATAGTGAACCTTTATAAAATCAGCAGGAGAAACGGAAAAGCAGTATCAAGCAAATTATCATTTACAAATAAACTAATTAGTTACCAAATTTAAGAAGTTTAAGCCCAACCTTGATCAAGCCAGAACCAGTGATATGATCAGCATGTACATGTGTGTTTATAGCATATATAAGCTTCAAACCCAGCTCCTTAACAAGTGCAAGATCACGATCCGCTGTTTTGTCCACTGGGTCAATCAGCTGCAGTTGGATTACTTTCATGTGTCAACTTTAAATCACAGTGTCTAACATAAAGCAATAGCAGATAATGAGAGGTGTTTAAAAATAATTGAACTAAATCAATATTAGTTCCTTCAATTTACAAGACATATATATGCAATGTGAATTAAAACTTCAACTTACAGTTAGTGATGAATAATATAATCATAGACACGATGCAGCATAATGAATTATGTGCTACAGTTTACCTGATGTTCACCCTAAAACATTGACAAAGACTATAAATAAGCTGCACTAACTTCACTATCTCCTTGTTTGACTTTTCAATCCCTTATTGTCTGGATTTAAATTCCATTCCACATGCTCCTAGTTGATCAGAAAACACTATCCAAAAATATAGTTGCTACGACTGATGTACCAGAGTTGAGGTTTAATAATTGCACATTTAGTTAGACACCCCTTTCTTCTACTAGTGTTTCGTGGGCTTTGGCTAGTAAGTACATTGGTATTGCATTAACAGAGTATCTTCAAAGAATTATCGATTTGAAAAGGATGGGAAATGTAAATTGTTTAGTCTGCTAGCATCACCCACTTTAATCAATTGAGAAGTTCAAAGCCTTCTTCACAGAGATTCTTTTTTCTTTTTAGCAGAATAATGCTTGTCTTCTTTCTATATGTCCTTCAGACCGAAAAGCTACACAACAAATTTATTCTGCTAAAACACCTCTCAATGATAAACTCGTGAGGTTTCAACTGTTGATCTAGTTATCCATAGGAAACAACAACATTCCCAGTGTTAACTGTTATCTCACAAGTGGGGGGGTCTGGGGAGGGTAGGTTGTACGCAATACTTACCCTACCTTTTTGCAGTAGAGAAGTAGTTATCCACAGGAAACATGATATAAGTTAAAGTTAGAGATTTCACCTTGGTATAAGTTCTTTAACTAAGTCCTATCCTTTCCGTTACCATCTTCATGTATTTCTTTTCCCTTTTTTCTTATAATTAAGGGACTTTATCACCAATACGAGTTATGTACATCAAACAACTCAAAACTGTATCTGGACCGGTGACCCCAACAATAGTTAGCAACTGAATGACCTGACATCATAATAAACTTAAACTTAACTACAGACTACAGGTAAAACTTCAGTTTCTCCACTCCCTGTGTACTTGTATAAGAACATCATCACCTATTTTCCATTTACAATACCCCAGTGTCCTTTCACTTCAGAGAAGTACCAAAAAGCTACAAACTTTTTCATAATATTAGTATTAATTATTCACTGATGTATTTACATTACACAGTTTGACTTTTGATACGCTTTACTTAAGCCAAGCTTTATCAAAAACAACCCTTTTCTATCAGCCTTCTTGAAGTAGGGTAACCCAACCCAAGTTTGGGATTACACTGGATATGTTGCAGTTGTTGAAACCTAAACTCATAAAAGCATGACAGAAATTTCTTTATCTAATTACAACCTCATAACCCCAAATTGCTAACACACCAAAATCAAAATCAAAGCAAATGAACAAAATATACAAAAGGGGTAAATAAATTTACCAAAGCGGGCTTTTGGGGATGCGAAGCATCAGCAACAAGGTAAGTATAGGTAGATGATTCCTTCTCAAAGAGCTGACGGAAAACAAGTTTAGGGCTATTTTGAGCAGAAGACGAAGTCGTAGAATGCGAACCCATTTGAGCACGAATGGGAGAATTGTGGGGTTTGAACGATTGAATAAAAGGGGCTTCGAACCATCGGAATCTCAGCATGATCTTATCTTTACTGTCGATTATCTCTATAAAATGTTCCCGTATTTTACAAGAAGAGTGACGTCAATGGAAAGTAACTTTCCAACTGGCGATGGTTTTCACAGTGTACAGTGCCTCTCTCTCTCATTGGCCTCCATTGTCACCAAGCTTAAACCTTAAAATAAATCTGAAATTCAATTAATTTGGAATCTGCATCTAAATCAGGGCTAATTTAAATTCGTGTACAAAAATAAATCTTACTTCGTTTCAAAAAGAATTATTAATAAAAAATTTTAAAAAAGATTAATTTTATAATTTCAAAATAAAAATATATCAATTTTTTTTTTAATATTATGTTTCAATAACGAATATATAATGTTTAAACGAGCAACACAAAAAATATTACTTGAGGTAAAAATTGTAGCCAATTAAGAAGAGACGTGGGTGGAATGGGGACTCTAATCTCCAATTAATCAACGTATTTAATTTAATTCACTACTACTTTATGAATGTATCAATATTGTTAAGACAAAAGATTAGGTGGGATGTAAATCTCCAACAGTTTCCTGATATTATTATATATAATATATAATAAAAAATTACAACAGTATTAATTATTAATATATACTAATAGAATAGTGAAGTTGATTGAAATAATTAAATTATTAATACTATTAAATTATCTATCAAATTATTTGACGTGAATTAGTGTCTACGCCGACAATAGTTTATTCTACTAGATATTTAAATTTTAATCAAATGATATCAATTTCCTTGGCCTTATCATCAGTTGACTAATTCATTTCCAATACATTTTTACTTCAAAATATTTATAATTTTTTTTATATATATATCTTAATGACCTGATGTTAGGGAAAAATAAATCCACACATAACACATTTTATATATTTATAATATGTATTGTAGAAAATTAATTACCAAGTAAAAAAAAAACATGGACTTCCTTTTCAAGCACAACATGCCACATAATTAGCGGAATTCCATCATGTGAAAACGTGCTTTTTGTCAAAAAAAAGAAGATAATATACGATTGAGTTTAATTAATTATACGTTTACCAGAATAATGGCCAGACATGCAACATATTATATACTCATATAACATAACTAAAAGTATATTCTTAGTTGACTAATAAAATTAAATCTTCAAAATAATAGGACCTCATTTCTGCATTTTTACTTAGGTTCTTTTTAAAGTTTAATCGCGCTTTTTAATAGAAAGAAATTATGATTTTGAGAATACAGAATTAAATAATACATTAAAAGACATATTTATATATTATGTGTCGAGTATTTGGGAAATTTCTGGCAGTCAAAAAGCATGAAAAAACTAGAAACACCAAAATACAGAGACTTTCCCAACTTGTAACTCTGATCAACTTCTCCAAAAATGAAAATCTTTAGCCGATTTGGTTGACCACTTCGTCATCCTGAAACTTAATTACCCAATTTGAAATCTTAAACCTCCAAGTTATGTCAGTTTCAGTGATATAAAAAGTGTATACTCACGCGTAAACTACACTGAATAAATGTCTTTAATACTGTTGCAATGAATGGGGTTCAAGTTAAATGGGGTTTTAAGTACGTAATCAGAATTTTGGGTTAAGCGTTTAGCTAGTTGCAGTGGGTGTTGGTCATTTTGGGATCAAGAGCTGTGTATATAGTAGAGAGAAGAAGAAGGAGTTTTGGGTTTTGGGTTTTGGGGGTGGATTGAAATGTCGAGTATAACGGATGCTACAATTATTCATCATGTGGGTATTGTGTTGCTTGCACTATGGTTGCTTAATTCCTTCGATTGTTGCCACGCTTTTGCTTACTTCCTATCGCTTATCTATCTCTATATGGTAAGTTGCTAAAGATTGTGTTTTTATTTCAATTTTGTACTCTTTTATGTGTTGTTTCTTTGCTGAGCTGAGGGGCTAAGGTTTGGTACAGTCTAGACTGTTAGACTTCACTTGTGAGATTACGCGGGTGTGTTTGTTGTTGTTTTTTCGTTGACTATCAAGTTTTGATATTTTTGCTTTAATTTTAAGTATTTGATGTGGATTGATCAAGTTATGTTCTTTAAATTTTGAAGGTTCATGAGCAGTATGTGACAAAATTAAGGAGGAAGCTACAGTTTGAGGAAAAAAGGCAGTCTTGTCAGCGGCGAGTAAGCATTTTGCAGGACTTCTATTGGAACTTAGTTTCATTCCCCCCCCCTCTTTGTCTGTTAAAGTTAATATGATAGATTTGGAAACTTTATTATTTTTGTTGTTAGATTTGACAGGCAAAAGAAAAGATACTGAATTGATTCTCAAGAAAATTCTTTTTTTTTTTTTGTGTTTCTCAAAGAGAAAAGGTACTGAGATTGCAAGAAAGCAGAAGAATATTCTAAATTTAGGAACTTTAAGATTTACCAACAGTTTTTCTGATTCTTGCACTCACTTACAAGATTTAAATATTGTTTTATTTTTCCCTCTATGTTTCTTTGATACCAAAATTTTGACTTGAGTCATTCATCAGCAAGATTAAGAGCTGAATAAGCAGCAATTTTCCTGCCGACTCTCGATTAATTTGGACTTGAGTTACTGCTTCTTCTTTTTTATGTGCTTTTTGGATTTTACCAGGTACTTTCAGACTCTGAATCAGTGAGATGGTTAAACTATGCGATTGAAAAGATTTGGCCTCTCTGCATGGAGGAGATTGTTTCACAGAAAATTCTTCTCTCTATCATTCCATGGTTTCTTCAGAAGTACAAACCCTGGACTGCTGTAAGTGGTTCAAAGCATGTCTACCTTCTGTTACTAGCTTTCTTTCTTTCTTTCTGGATTCTATGCATCACCTTTCATTTAATGCCTCTATTTTCTATATTTTCCCTTTATTTAGTGTTCTCGAATTCAAGCAGTTCTGCTTTCATCAACATTATAGTTTCATCCTTATGCTGTAACCATCCAATTTTTAACTTTATTCCGAAGAATTAATTGTTTGCTGAGTTGAGTTATGAAGAGTAATTTCCTCCCCCTGATGCATACAGAAAGAAGCTGTAGTTCAGCACCTCTATTTGGGAAGAAGCCCACCTATGTTCACAGAAATGAGGGTTCTTCGCGAATCTACTGGAGATGATCACTTGGTATGTAGTCTTGACGCAAGAATGTTTATACATGTCAGCAGTTTGGCTTCTGCCAACTTGTGCTCTTTTTGGTAATGGTTAAATTTAAATCTATCCGTGCAGGTCCTGGAGTTAGGAATGAATTTCCGTGCTGCCGATGACATGAGTGCAATTCTTGCTGTGAAACTGAGAAAAAGGTTGGGCTTTGGGATGTGGGCGAAGTTGCATCTATTGGGCATGCATGTTGAGGGAAAGGTGATTCAGTAATGGCAATTAATATTGTGAAAATCTTCTTCCGTTGTAAAAATCTGACACTGAAAAGGGAAATGAGGTGGGGGGAGGGGGATTAATAGTATCAGTTTAACGTTCAGTACTTATGGTTGCAGATTTTGTGAATGTCTTAATTATTAGCATCAACTCGCTCCTCTTTTGGTGAAATATTTATTGATATTATCGCTGTAGCCGTATGGGCCATCTCCCATGCTGTACTCCTCTTCTTTCAAAATTCATATCTCAGTGGCAAGTTTGTGTAAAATTAGGCATTACGCATTCAATACAACAAATATGCCATATTGTGCTCCACAGTTTGTGGGTGCATGAGTGCGCTACATGACACCAATTACCAAGTGGTTTACATTTTCTGCTAATTTCTTGCACATGAAGAACCAAATGAAATGAGCTACCCTTCTATTCCTAAATTTTCAGCTATAAGAATGTCTTCCTGTGCTGCTAGCCAAGCAAACTAGCACACTTATTTTTAGGTGTTCTAGTCGAATACATGGCATACGAAGGAATGAGGAAACTTATGACAATCTTAGAGAGTTCTATGTTCAGTGTTGATAGTATAGCCATTGAGTGTAGTTATTCACCTCTCAATTCTTCTGTTCCCTTGTATTGTTTGATGACCAGATTTAAATTCCTAAAATAATATGTTTGGAGGTATTGCTGTTCCATGTAGGTCTTGGTTGGGGTAAAGTTCTTAAGGAAGTGGCCATTTCTCGGTCGTTTGCGGGTTTGCTTTGTGGAGCCTCCTTATTTTCAGATGACTGTGAAGCCAATTTTCACACATGGACTTGATGTAACAGAACTTCCTGGAATTGCTGGATGGATGGTTAGTTCAATGAGTATTGTGTGTTTCTCTAACATTGAATTGACATATATACAATCTTTTTAAGATTTGCTTGTCATCTTTATCAGGATAAACTTCTTGCTGTTGCCTTTGAGCAGACACTTGTCGAGGTGCGGTTCATTCAGATTTGAGTCTGTATTCTGTTTAATATTATACCCCCTAATATACTTGTGGTAGAAACATATTTTAGACTTTGATGTGCTTAAGAATGGAAACCTAAGTTGCTCGGACTCTTCACTTTTGGTGCCGCACCCATGTCAACACAATGTGGATGCGGGTGGGATCCGTACCATATTTGATGAACCGATTTTGGGTACTTTGACCAAAATTGATGGAGTAATTCGGGACAAATACAATGATTTCTGAAATCTAAACAAAAACTAAGATATCATTCAATGAGTACCATGTATACAGAAATTTCTATATCATCTTTTCCTTACATCACCTTCTAGAAATTGCCTCTTGATCAATGTTTTCTCCTCGAAATATCTTTTGTATTTTCCACATAATGTCTCATAATTTAGACATAATTCTTTTTTTAGATTTTGAATTATTTTTAGCCAAATCCTGCACCAGTCTCCATACTTGGATCCGTACCCCCAAATCTTAAAGTTTAGATCATGAAGGATCTGTCTTCTAGATCCCCACCCGAGTCCGAGCAACTTAGATGGCGACAGAAGTTCCAAATAGAAGTTACGCTTCAATGGTTTGAATAATTTACAATCAGGTATTGTGGACTAGTTTCCATGTGCCCAAAAGAAAAGGAAAAAAATGCCATGAAGAGCTTTTAGACTAAGTTATTCTTAATATCTTGCAGCCCAACATGCTGGTGGTGGATGTTGAGAAGTTTGTGTCGCCGCAACCAGGTAATGGTCACCCTAGCTTCCACCCTTGTCGTTTGGTTTCCAATATAATTGAGTCCAACTCATTGACAGGAAATTTGACATGAATATTAAATATAAGAGATTATCAATATTTGAGAAACTGAAAGATTATTTTTTTTTTAATACTTAATACTCTATTTTTATTAGTGAATGTTTCCATTGGTTGAGATGGAAATTCACTTTCTGAAAAATCATTATAAATATTGTTGAATTTTTATTTTTTTTTGATGAATTTGATTTCAATCTGTTTAAGTTTTATTCACCAAAAAAATGAAAATGGACTTTGGGCAAGAGACAACCTGGCGAACTGAAACATCTTAGTAGTTAGAGGAAAAGAAAGCAAAAGTGATTCCCGTAGTGTAGCGAGAAAAACGGGAGTGGCCTAAAAGCAGCCCATTTTTAGGCTTTACATACAATTTCACAAATGTACTGTCCAAGACTAATTATTTAGATGTCTCTTCGCAATAACTGTGATGGAGAAAATACCAATTCAAATTATTTTAGATGTCCAAGACTAGTGAAAAATTTCCTTTTTTTTTTGGTTGCTGAGCCTACTCAGTTGTAAGTAGCTCTGTGATGTAAATTTTTGGGACCTCAGCCTCAGTGCTGAAGATTTATACAAAAACTTGTTACCTTTGTCAAAAAAAGAGAAGGCTAACAATAAGAGTCAAGTGCATGGCACAAAACCTTTTCCATCCAAAAGGTGACACCAGTAAATGTTACAGTGTTAGGCCTTTCTGTGATGCTTTTGTTCTCTTACCTTTGTTAAGAGCGCCGCTAAACCTTTTCCCTCCCTGAATTTGTAACCTACTTAACCCATTCAGATATCAGGTTAGTTATGTGAATTTAAGTCAATCAAGAAAAAGAAGTTTTAGAAGGCCGCTTCCTGTTTGAGTAAGCTGTGAACAGAGGGATGACTATTGCGGCTTTCAAACATTTTAATTCTACCAATATATGATTCTGTGCTAGTGTTGTTGGAAGAAGTCCTGATTCCATGAATTGCAGTGAAGTTATTTTGACTGTTTGGAAAGCCTAGAACTTTTCATATGTTTTAACTTCATTATATACAATGTTGTAAGGTGGTATTAGGCAGCGAGTGAACCGTGTCAGTTATTCATCTTTGAGAACTTGAACTAGCTGATACACAACATATTGTTGATAAATTTTCTAATATAATCCATTCTGTGTTGGTAGGGGATTGAATTGTATTTGAGGAGATAAGCTATAAAAGAAGTGTAAGCTGGTGGTCAGTGTTTATTAAAATGTTTAGTGTGTTGTAGTGGGTGTCTCGACCTAATTAATAATTCAAACTGCATAAGAGGGTGAACTTTTTTGCTACCATTTACCCCCCCCCCCCCCCCCTCTCCCCCTCTCTCCCCCCCAGGGATAAAGACAAAGGGAAGTAAAAGCATTAGCCCCTAAATGTGCTTGAGTTTAGTCTATTTGATGTCTAATACATACAGACAGGATGGGATACCATTAAGTATTTTCTATTACTGGTGGAGGTGGTTCACAGATTTTAATATCTCATGCTGATAGTTCTCGATGCAACACTTATCATCTTTCATTTGTACAGTACTAATTAAACGCATTTGTGTGCTCAGCGTATTTTGTCTAGATGGATATATGATATTAGAGTTGTTGAGCTTCTGTTTTTGAAGTGATTGAATTCAATTTGTTATGTTCTGTCACTGCTACATAAGTCTTCTTTTTTCATTTTGTCAGAAAACTGGTTTTCAGCTGATGCTAAGGAGCCCATTGCTTTTGTGATTTTAGAAGTTCTTGAAGCAGCTGACATGAAGCCATCAGATTTAAATGGTACCTAGAAAATAATCTTACTGTACTTCTGTCAAATTATTAGCTATGTATGGCTAAAAGCTGGGTGGTCATTTTCAGGATTGGCTGATCCATATGTTAAGGGGCACATTGGCCTTTACAGATTCAGGACTAAGACTAAGAAGAAGACATTGAATCCACAGTGGCGTGAGGAGTTCAAGATTCCAGTCTGTACATGGGAGTCTCCTAACAACATGCTCAATGTCGAAGTTCGTGACAAAGACCATTTATATGATGATACATTGGGGTTCGTCCTGTTCTCTTGGCAATTTAAATACTAATATTCTTCTCTATAGGTGTATGAGTTAACTATAGTTTCTTCTTCTTTTCTTTCGACATCAGTATGTTCTCCAATGGAATATTATTCGAAGCCGACATAAGCAACTTATTCACTTCTTATTTGTTCTTTGTGAACAGAAAATGTTCCATCAATATCTGTGATTTTAGGGATGGCCAGAGGCATGATATGTGGCTGTCTCTTCAGAACATCAAAATTGGGAGATTGCATCTTGCCATAACTGTTGTTGATTGTGCCAAAAAGGTATATGTTTTTCCTGTGAAATTTGTCATGAACACTAAATTGAAATGTTAAGAAGCAAAGATTTCTCACTTATTATCTTCTTTTGCACCTGAAAAATGGTTTCCATTACTCATAATTTTATAATGGATGAATTCAGTAAACAAAAATAACGGTGCTGAGGAATGAGTATAGTTTATTATGATAAATAATGACGGAAAATAAGGAAGTACTAAGTTTTCAGCAATTTTCAGGGCGCGGAGCAGTCATATGATAGCGGAAGTATGGTCAATGAACAGGATAGCAAATCTGCTGAGGTGGATAAAACTGAACAAAGCTCCTTAACCACTGAATCAGTTGATGAACCTTCAAAAACTGGAGATAAGTATGAACCTATTAATATTGAAGGGCAGCGGGAGACTGGTATATGGGTACACCAACCAGGGAGTGAAGTAGCACAAGTATGGGAACCAAGAAAGGGGAAGAACAGGGTTATTGGCGGAGAAGTTCATAGTGAAAATGCTGGTTCTAAGGGAAGTCTTAAGTCAACATCAGGCGGCTCCTCTCACTATAATGAATACAAGCTTGATGGAAGTGGTAACGGAAGTAAGCCAGATTCTCCAGGTCGTTTTCACAGGGGTTTACATAAGATCAGCTCGCTCTTCCGGAGAAGTTCAAGTAAAGAGGATAAGTCAGGCAATCTTGGAGAGCCTGATTTATCTCCGCGTGTGAATCTTAGGGCAGTTAATGCCAAGGATATAGGAGTGAAGATTATAGTGGATGACACCATTTTGCCTTCATCATTAACAACACCTACAGAAGATGGGAAAGATAACTGCGCAGGAAATGGGAAAAACCCCACAAAGGGGAGAGTGAGAAACAAGACGAAGAAAATCCTTAAAAACGCTGGCAAATCTGTTGGTGGTGGCATAAAGAAAGTGATGTCCGGGAAGTCATCAGGTAAATCTAAAGAGGAAGTAGAATCATCAGAGACAGAAAGACTGAGCTCTGTGGAATCTGATACTTCTTATGCAGAGTCTCAACGTTCATCAGTTGATTCACCTCCAGTTGTAGCACCTTCAGCTGACAACAGTTCCACACCTAGCTCCGGTATAGAGAATTCCGACACCACAATAAGAACCAGTGAACTGGTAGATAGTGAAAGCATCAAAACTCCAGATGAGGTAGCAGCGAACTCAAACGAAAATCATGCTTTCGGTCAGTCTTCAAGTTTTAAAAAGTCTGAGGTAGACCAATGAGGTGAAGTTTGAATATGTTATAACAAGATGTTTTTCCCAGTTTCCCCCATTGTATAGTCTCTGAATGTATATGTTGTTATGCCCTTCCTGTAACAACTTCATGTTGGCGAAAATCTAATGTACCATAGATAGTTTTTGTTGTGGTTTCAAGCTTTGTATCATGAAAATTTTAGAAAAATCAAGAGTGAATATCACATAAAGATGTATTTTTTTTAATCATATGCAAAAAAAAGTTGTCATATTTGTCGTATAGATTTAAAGCGCAACATGAAAAATTTAAGTGGGATTAAAATTTTTAAAAATGACTCATCGAATGGTGATGAGAATTTGTCCATTATTTCAAATTCAACTAAAAAATTCTTCCTATTTGGATTGAGTCAAATGTTTTTTTTTTGTGGCGCACAGTATTTTTTTTCTCAATCAAGTTGAATAAAATAGCCACCACCTCATTTTCATGGCCCTCCTTTGAGTTTAGCTCCTCAACAACAATGGCGGCTGCATCTCCATCTCCTTGTTTTTCCAAAACCCTACCTCCATCTTCATCAAAATCTTCCACCCTTCTTCCCAAATCTACCTTTACTTTCCACAATCACCCTAAAAAAGCATCACCCCTTCACCTTACACACACCCAACATCATAGCCGTTTCACTGTTTCAAATGTCATCCTATCAACCACGACGCATGACGACGTTTCTGAACCCGAAATCTTTGTTTCCCGTTTCGCCCCTGACGAACCCAGAAAGGGTTGTGATGTTCTTGTGGAGGCACTTGAAAGGGAAGGGGTTAAGGATGTGTTTGCATACCCAGGAGGTGCTTCCATGGAGATTCATCAGGCTTTGACACGTTCAAATATTATTCGTAATGTGCTGCCACGTCATGAACAGGGTGGTGTGTTTGCTGCAGAGGGTTACGCACGGGCTACTGGGTTCCCTGGTGTTTGTATTGCTACATCTGGTCCGGGAGCTACGAATCTTGTTAGCGGTCTTGCTGATGCTTTGTTGGATAGTATCCCGATTGTTGCTATTACCGGTCAAGTGCCGAGGAGGATGATTGGTACTGATGCGTTTCAGGAAACTCCTATTGTTGAGGTAACGAGATCCATTACGAAGCATAATTATCTTGTTATGGATGTAGAGGATATTCCTAGGGTTGTTCGTGAAGCGTTTTTTCTAGCGAAATCAGGACGGCCTGGACCTGTTTTGATTGATGTTCCTAAGGATATTCAGCAACAATTGGTGATACCTAATTGGGATCAGCCAATGAGGTTGCCTGGTTACATGTCTAGGTTGCCTAAATTACCTAATGAGATGCTTTTGGAACAAATTGTTAGGCTGATTTCAGAGTCAAAGAAGCCTGTTTTGTATGTGGGTGGTGGGTGTTCACAGTCGAGTGAGGAGCTGAGACGCTTTGTGGAGCTTACGGGTATTCCTGTGGCGAGTACTTTGATGGGTCTTGGAGCTTTTCCAAGTGGGGATGAGCTTTCTCTTCAAATGTTGGGTATGCATGGGACTGTGTATGCTAATTATGCGGTGGATAGTAGTGATTTGTTGCTTGCATTTGGGGTGAGGTTTGATGATCGAGTTACTGGTAAATTGGAAGCTTTTGCTAGCCGAGCTAAGATTGTCCATATTGATATTGATTCGGCTGAGATTGGAAAGAACAAGCAACCTCATGTTTCCATCTGTGCAGATATCAAGTTGGCATTACAGGGTTTGAATTCCATATTCGAGAGTAAAAAAGGTAAGCTGAAGTTGGACTTTTCTGCTTGGAGGCAGGAGTTAACGGAGCAGAAGGTGAAGTACCCATTGAATTTTAAGACTTTCGGTGAAGCCATCCCTCCCCAATATGCTATTCAGGTTCTTGATGAGTTAACTAACGGAAATGCCATCATTAGTACTGGTGTGGGGCAACACCAAATGTGGGCTGCCCAACACTACAAGTACAAAAAGCCACGCCAATGGCTTACATCTGGTGGATTAGGAGCAATGGGATTTGGTTTGCCTGCTGCTATAGGTGCGGCTGTTGGAAGACCGGGTGAGATTGTGGTTGATATTGATGGTGATGGGAGTTTTATCATGAATGTGCAGGAGTTGGCAACAATTAAGGTGGAGAATCTCCCAGTTAAGATTATGTTGCTGAATAATCAACACTTGGGAATGGTGGTTCAGTGGGAGGATCGATTCTATAAGGCTAACAGAGCACACACTTACTTGGGTAATCCTGCTAATGAGGAAGAGATCTTCCCTAATATGCTGAAATTTGCAGAGGCTTGTGGCGTACCTGCTGCAAGAGTGTCACACAGGGATGATCTTAGAGCTGCCATTCAAAAGATGTTAGACACTCCTGGGCCATACTTGTTGGATGTGATTGTACCTCATCAGGAGCATGTTCTACCGATGATTCCCAGTGGCGGTGCTTTCAAAGATGTGATTACGGAGGGTGATGGGAGACGTTCCTATTGACTTTGAGAAGCTACATAACTAGTTCAAGGCATTGTATTATCTAAAATAAACTTAATATTTATGTTTACTTAAAAGTTTTTCATTGTGTGAAGGATTTTAGAATTTCTTGTTCTATTGGCAGCACCAATTAAGTATTTGGAGCTCTATTTAGTATGACTAAGATTAATTACAAGTGAAGTAGTTAAGTTCGATAAATCAGCTTTGTTACATTCTATGTTATTTGGTGAACATGAATTCCATTTGGGAGAAGGCTATGTCCAGCTTAAGGGCTCAAATTTTTCAGAGAGTGCTGATTCAAAAGGTGAATGCCAAAATCAGATTAGCACAAGTTTGCAGAGTTATATTACGCCATCTTTCTGTTTTCAGCTAATTGCTGTTGCAAGGGCTCTACTGAAGAAGGCCTCTATTTTATTTCTTGATGAGGTAATCTTTGACCCCTTTTGCTCCCCGTGTGTCCGTTGACTTTTACCATGTATGCTCTGCGTTACAGTTCTGTGGGTGACCTTGGTATCTTCTTATTCACTGTAAATGTTGGTTTAAGCCTGAATTACCTAGGGGATTCCCCAGGTCGTTTACACAGGGGTTTACATAAGATCAGCTCAGTTCTCCGGAGAAGTTCTAGCAATCTTGGAGAGCCTATTTCATCTCTGCATGTGAATCTTAGGGCAGTTAATGCCAAGGATATCAGAGTGAAGATTATAGTGGATGACACCATTTTGCCTTCATCATTAGCAACAACACCTACAGAAGATGGAAAAGAGAACGGTGCAGGAAATGGGAAAAGTTTCACAAATGGGGCAAGACGAAGAGAATCCTTAAAGATGCTGGCAAATCTGTTGGTGGTGGCATAAAGGAAGTGATGTCTGGGAAGTCATCAGGGAAATCTAAAGAGGAAGTAGAATCATCAGAGACCGAAAGAATGAGCTCTGTGGAATCTGATATTTCTGATGCAGAGTCTCAACCTTCATCAGTTGATTCACCTCCAGTTGTAGCGCCTTCTGTTGACAACAGTTCCACAGCCAGCTCCGGTATTGAGACTTCTCTCTTGATGTAGAATTGTGATATACGCGATGTAATATAAAACATATTTGGTGTTACACTTGGACGAACTTATTTTTCAGTTTTGACCAACACTCTACTGAAAGATGATAACCTTGAGATTTTAAGAATGCGTATTATTCATTAGCGTCTATGCACAATAGTCTAGTATACAACTATACCTGTACATGAAAGAATTATACAATCGATTGTTTTCCCTATGGAGTATATCCGCACGACAACATGTTTTTACCAGTATTTTGCTATTCTACAGTAACAGAACAATATGTGTACATGCAAGTTATGTAATGTAAAGTCAAATAGAGATCACTAATGTTTCTTCTTTCCTGCAAGAATTGGCTGAATTTGCAGCCTCCTACTGAAAGCCTCATTGAACAGAAACCGAGTTTGGAAAGCTGAAATTATTGGAAGCCAAGCCAGTGAAGCTAAAGGCGCGAAAAGAACAACACCCATTCCATAGTCATAAGCTCGAGCAAACACTCGAGTGAAGTGCCACAATCCAGTACCTTCAATCTTTGGTCTCACTACTTGGCCAACCTGAGGAGAACAGCAGCATTTATGCAATTCAAAACGAGACAAAAACAGGACAGAGAAGAGGAGGAAGTATGTGTAGCAAAATAGGCAAGAACATATACTGGACTTACCAATATCAAGCCCCAACCAGTTGGTAGAAAAGCTAGACAGCAGACAATCAAGTCTTTCACAGACAGATGACATATGATAGACAGGGTAATAATAGTTGCCACAACTCCTAGAAATAGACAAGCTTTAAACAACCGGAAAGTTAAGTGATGGTTTGCGCTTAAAAACCGCCTTCCGATATTCAGCATCTGGAAAATTCAGCAACAGCGTCAATACTCAGTATAGTTCCACAAAGTGGGGTCTTCTAGTATTCACAAACTGGAAGTATATCAGCATTGTAAAAGAGAGACAGGCAATGTGCAGGAAGTGGCTTACCTTCATCAAGAGGAAAATAAAAGCAATGACAACCCATGAGAGCACATAGACAACAATATTTTTACTTTGATTGGATATATCAAGGTGATACACCAGTCCATATTGGTAAAGGAAAAATCTCAGTGAAAGGAGTATCTCAATCAACCGCGAAAATAGCCCAGCATGACGAAGATGAGCTTGTTCATCATTCCACCATGATTGCCAACTTTTATCTTGTTGTATCCCTATACCACCTTGTTGATTAATCCACTTGTTCCAATCTTTCCAGTCATCAACTATCTTGCCCCAATCAAATCCAGAAGGATTAAACAGAAACGGTGCAAACGACCAAGTAAATGACATGAACCATATTGCATATGTAGTTAAAACATATGCCAAATTGCTCTCATACGATCGTCTAAACAAATCATAAACAATCAACAGGAGTAGAAGTTCAAATCCTTTGACGAAGTGACTCCGAGAGTAAAGTCTATAGTTTTCAGTGAAGCTGGCATGAAAAACCACAACTTTACGACCAGTAGGTCTATACTTAGCACCTCCATGAAGAATTGTTCTGCCATAGTAATGAGACTTTGTTCCATAGGAGAAAGTAAAGAAAACTGCAGCCAGCTGCAGTTGCATCAGAACAAAATCTTTAAGAGCATTAAGATAACCGCGCTCTAGTCCCAACTCAATGACCATTGGTAACCCTGTTAAAAGTCCAAGCTGGATAAATGATTGAGAAGCTAGAGCTGTTTCCAGTGACTTTATGTTTTGTAGTTTTGCCTCAACTAGTAGTGCTCTTTGTAGACCACTTAATACCATGTAGAGCTGACCGTATAGAAACACATAAATCGTAACCACTGATATCTGCATAGTTTTGACAGCAGAGATTAAAAGAGACATATAAACCAGCATATTAGTTACAGGATTTAATGTAGTTACCAGGCTGTTGAAGTAGAAGCCAACTGTTGTAAAATAACATGAGAGCATTCTAAAGAAGTCAAATCTATGGCCAAGGCGATACATATCACGACTGATTGTTTGTTCACTGTTTCCATTTGCAACTTTAGCTTCAAACTTTGAAATCTGATTAAGGCCTACATCACGACCTTTTCCAACTTGCATGTACTCAAGATATATGACATGTCCGCGTCTCAGAGTCGTGTTAAATCCTACATTATATCAGAGATACTGTCATGTGTTTTCTAGTCTATACAACTTTATGATGTCAAATGAACATTTTGCATTAACAGGAAAACCTGCAAAAACATCTTCACTCAAGTTGATTGTTTTGGATGCTTTGCTAATGCCACCTCTTGTCAAATGAAATACGCGGTCAAACACATCCGGGTGCCCATAATGGAACCTGACCCTGAAATTTTCGATGGAGAAGGATGTGGTAAGCAATCTGAATACAGCATGATATACTTTTTGTTTCCTTTATGCAAAGAGCTTCTAAACAAGAAAAGATACCATGTGACTTAAATCATCATTTTTTCGCGAGTTTCATACATCAACTATCCATTGTTCTCTTTACTTACCTAAACTATCACTATCTTTGTATTAAAACACACCTCGATACTGAGTTGGCCAAATATTTGTTCCTAACTGACAGCAGGTGTCTGTAGGCTAACTCAGCATCAACACACGTTTTAATACAAAGGGAGTGATAGTTGAGGTATGAACTTGCGAAAAGGAGATAGTTTAGGTGTGGTTTTACCATTAACTCTAAGGTATATAGAACATATCTTTTACCCCCCCCCCCCCCCACACACACACCCCTCCCCAAGATAGTTTCCTTATTATTCATTTGATCACTATTACATAAAAGTAAACATGTTAAAATAGGGATTAAATTACCTGAGTGGATTAGCCAGAAGCCTCTGGCCAATGGTGACAAAACTGGTTTCTTGATAGGACATAAACCAAGCTAAAGAAGAAACACTGCAATCGGGATGAAAGTTTCTTTAGCATTTTACTCAAAAAAATCTCTTCTTTTAGTCTTTTTTTCTCTTAATATCTATTTTTCTCTTTTTAGAGTAAACTCGCTCTGCATAACGCGCAAAAATATTGTTGTTGATAATGTACTAGATAGTTTCATAAACAGGTAATCACAGTTCTTAGATGCTGACCTTCCTGTAAATATGTGTTCTCTCATGCCAAGTATTGTAGGAGGACGCCGACCACTGTGTTTTAGGAACTCTTGCAAGATATTTCGTATTTTCAAAGCTTCTTCTAAATAATTATCCTGTAAAAACACTATTAAAACATATATATGAGCTTATTCTTTTTCAAAATCCTGAAGCTGATGAATACCTGGTTCATGTCAATTGTTTGGAGAGCTTCACCGCGTGTGAAAATTATGGAATGATTTTGATTTTCAGGTTTTCCTTCTCCAATATTTGGTGTACCTGGAAGCTTTACGCGGTATACTTCCTACAACATAGGCAAAAGACTTGTAAGAGTAAGCATAGACCAATTTTTTAGAATTAGAAGACATTGTTCATTTTGATACATAACACGAAACAATTAGATAGATCTTCCTTGCTGTATTTTCTTGAGAAGTTGTGCATATTGACAGTGAAGTGTCCAAAAATATTAAGCAAAAGACAGTTTTCAACTGCTTGGATGATTCTTTTTCAATACCTGATCAAAACCGTTAACAGCTTTAACTAGAATAGATGAATAAACTTTTCGCGGCTTGTCTGCTGTAATTTCTTCTTTCTCCTCAACATAAGCAACTCGTAAAGAAGGGTACCTTTAAGCAAAACATCGATAAATTAACATAGTTAAGTTTCGAGACTAATTTTCAAGTACAAAAGTACCCTGAATGGAAGTTTCACTTGGAAAAAGTACCTTATCATCAAATTTAGTATGTCTTGAGCCTGAGGGTCACCAGTAGTCTTCTGTAATCCATATATTTGACAAGACACAACATGTATAAACTTCATGTCTGCCAAGGCTTCAAGTTGAGCTGATAATGTATCGTTTTTCCTCTCAATTGCATCAAAACCTTGGAGGATATCTGGTGCAAGACGGAAACATGCAGATGATGTTCACTTGAGTTGAATATCGGTGTAGGGGGAGAGTCAAAATATCTGAATATGACAAACCTTCATCCTCAGCCATGTCGAGAAAAGCTTGCAACTTCAGTGCTTTTCTGTAGTACATCATCCCTCGGACTGTTTTGGTTAACGGAAGGAAACATATAAAGAACATTTCTAGTAAGGATAAAGTTCAAAATTTCAGCTTATATCGAAATAACTTTTAGAGGAATGGTAAATTCACCAGTTCTGCTTAGAGTTTGCCCTCGGAAAGAAGCCCAACTTCTCTCCTCTTCTTCAATTTCATCACTAGATTCATCTATTCCTTCCTTTTCCATGCGCTCCAAAAAGTTCTCCCATTCATCTAAGGACGTATAATTAATACGAATATTTAGTTAATCAAAACTTATGAGATGGAAGAAGCTCTCTTTCACTCTATTAAGTCATAGAGAATTTTCGTCGTGGCAACCTGGAAATATCTTTTTCATATAGAAAAGGATAGAGACTCCAGCTTGTTTTCTTGAATTGAGCTCCTTCTTTGAAAATTTGACTTCCTCCATGAAATGTGGAGTTAGAACACTGTATAGTAAACATGTCCCTGTAAGTAAGTTTACTTGTTGAAACCTGAATATGTAGTTAATTCCACATACCCGTAGGTATTTTATGCGAAGTGACAAAAATATCAAGTAAATGTGATGAATCTGACCTGAATGATAACATGTTCCGCACCTTTGGAGCACTTGGCATGTTCATAGACAGAGAAGTAGCGAAAAAGCAAATCCTCCTACGAGCCTCCAAGTTAGTCGGTATATCTAGGGCTTTATCTTTGACAGTAAGCAGTAAACGGAACCTCTTGATCTACAATTGAAGTTAGATCAGTCTCCATACATACAATAGGTTTGTGTAGCTACACATATGTTTTCAGGTATGCCTATAAGTACACTACAAGTAAACGGAACCATAAGTAGTAAAGTATTTGGAACACCTTTTCCAATAAGGAATCACTATCTGGCAATGGAAAATGGATTGAATTCTTAGATGCAAACAGTGGTACTTCAATCGAGTCGAAACATTCAACAACCTCTTTCTCACTATACAGGTGAGCATCAAGTGACTCCAACGTTCTGCAACCACGAAGGATGGTTAGTTA